GGAGCAACTTATCATTTTTACTATATATAATATATATATGTATGTGTCTTGTTGATTCACAGCATTTCAAACTCACATTATAAAGTTTGCAAATTCCTATAAGCTATTCTAATGTGAAAAAGCTGTCTGATTTCACACAATATTTGCCTTATGATAATGCAAGCATTGCTCTATCAGAGTATTTATTAGAGCACATAAAAATTTTATTGCTCAACTTGATTTGTGTTGTGTCTTGGTTACAACAGCCACAGAGGTTATGGAGAAAATAAATAGCTTTGACATCCTCAGTCAATTCCTAAGATAATTCATTGATGAATAAGGAGCACTCGTGTAACCTTCTTCTTGGCTTTGAAGATGATAATCCAGCTTGCACCTTCTGAGTCAACCTCAGTAAAAATACAGTTTTCTGCTGAGCAGTTTAAAAAAAATAAAAATAAAAAAATCAGGAAACAAACATGACTTCACACTGCAGTGACTGTTATAAACAAGAATCTCTAAAGCCTTGCAATTCAAAATAATATTGTATTATACAGGGAGTAAACAGTTGCCCTGTTCAGGAATACATCATGGAAAGATTGCAATTCAGTCTTTTCATTTTTTTTACCAGTATTTGGTTGTTCTCACATCTTGTTGCTTTGGTGGCTCTACATAAACTGTATCTGTGAAGCAGAGATTACATATTAATGCCACTCACATAACACATGGCTTATCAGCATTTTAGAATTATGAATCTGTCCAACTGCCTTGTAAATCCTATTGGCTTTGGCACTTATAAAACCCCCAGAGAATGTGAAGACCAACATATCTGCATGACAGAAATACACAGTTTCTCCAGCCTGAATGATCTCTTGTCCATGCCTTTTTCACTCCCCCATCACCTGATCCTTCAGGAAGTTTGCAACACTGCTGTGGTCAGCATGATTAAACCAAGTATCTGGATAATGTCATAGGAAGTCTAAAATCTACGTATCTTCACCACTCCCATTCTCTTCACATTGACACAGCGAGAGGTAAACTCCTAAACATCTGATTTTTACTATCTTCCTTGCTCCCTACAATTGCCTACTCTCACCATCTGGATTTGCCTCCTCACCAGCAAAAGCTGCTGCCCTTGACTGAGGAACCCTTGACTGACTCACTTTCACATGTAGAAATATCCCTTCACAAAGCACTTAATTGCTTTTACCAAGACTAAAGTTTCAATGCCATCACAAGACTAAATAAAACCATTCACCTGAGTTTCAGAAACAGGTGCAAAAGGATTTGTTGGCCTTAGACCAGGCTGTGTATACATCATTGACTGCGGTGCCATCAAAGGAGCAGCTCCAACCTGAGGAGGGACCTGTTAGAAACACAAAACCCCCACAAGACAGGTATATAAAACTCAAACTAATTCTGCAAGATACATCTTTTTGCATTGTAAGTAGAGTAGAAAATGAGCATATTGACACACAGAGTAAAATCAAAGCTTTTCATGAACTAGCTATATAAAATTTAGAGTAATCTCTTTCAGTGCAGAGTGAAAAAGCTGTAAGATTTCACACACTACTGTCAGTCATTTAAGGATGATTTGAACATAATAATGTGAAAGCAAAACAATCACATTTCTTACCATTCCATAAACAGGCACTTGAGGTGTGGTCAATGGGTATGTGATAGGAGCAGGTACCTTCAAGAAAGAAAATTTGAATATATTTTAGAGAATCTCCTGCATACCTAGTAATACATATAAAACTTGGAAAAATACATATTTTTCAGTATTTAAAATATCCAATGTATTTACAAGAAATGGACTTACGTATCCAGGATAGTGTACTCCATTCTGGCACAGCAAAAGGATAAGACAGAAAATTATTTAAGAGCTGTTCAAACTGGAAATTCTAACCAAGGAGTGGATTCAAGTCTAGTACCACAACAGTCTAACTACGCTCAACTCATTTATTAAAACAATTGAAGCGGGAGGAAAAAATGCAAGGACAGATATTAGTAACTATACTTAGATATCACTAGTAAGAATTACAGCAAAATTAGAAATTTTACTACACTTAGCCAAATTTGAGCATATTGCCTGCACAAGCATGTCTGTGAGAAACTTTCAGAGGGGAATGGCATGCAATATTCCTTCTTCCTTCCATTATGTGTGAGAAGGGCATGGAGAAAAACCCAAGGAAGGCAGTGACCATTCAGCTTAAGAAGCAAATAGCAACAGATCTTTAGTCAGGTAAATGCTGCTCACATGCTAACATCTGGTGTCTGCAACACATCACAGTATGAAAAATGAAGAGCATCTTGAGCCAGAAATACCTTCTATCAGGTCATGTTCGCAGGCACAGAGATGCATGTTCTTCACATTGCCATGCTTTGTTAAGCAATGCTAATGACATTAAAATGGAGTGACAGATAAAACACTTTGCCATGAAATAGTTTGCAGACCATACATGAATTGGAGGGTTAGTACTCTGAATAACACAGGTCAAGCCAGGACAGTGAGCCCTTTTCAGTACTGGGGCACAGATTCTAATGATGCTCATAGCTGTGCTAGATCTCTGCATCATTAGTTGCTGGAGTTCCAAGCAAAAGCATGAGCATAAACCACTCAAATGCTTAGACTAGAAAGCATTAAACATGAGCACATGAAATAAAAACACAAACTCCAAATCCACGGTGATCAATGGGTGCTAAGGTACCCTCTGTTTCAGAAATAAAAATGCATCAGCACTTTAAGAACAGGTTCTAGAGCACCAAGAGGGGATAAAACATTGTATGGTCTCAAACTTCTCACACAGAAGTGTCCTACAAGTGAGACATCCTCTCATCTAAATTTTTTAGTCCAATACTGGATTTAATATTCTAGTCAACTTTGCTAATTCTGAATGGGCATACTCATTTAAGATAAAGAAAACAGGCAGTAGAGGCAAAGCTATTATTATTGCAAAATTAAGTCAGACAGCAGTCCAAAATTCATAGCAAATGTGGTAATTACCCTAGTTGTACATTTAAATGAGATAACATTCTACTTCCCTCCAAGGCAGTATATTTTAGAAGTGGTTCACATCTGTATGAATATATATACATACAGGATACTTGAAAAATCTCTTTTAAAAGCATAGGAAAAGTCAGTTGCCTATAAATATCCCTCCAAGAAATGAAAATGCTTCATTTAAGTAGTGATAAAAATCCACTTAGCATTTTGTACTGTGTTAAAAATACAAAGTTGCTGTAGAGCAATATCAAAAGTCTAAAGTGCTGCTAGGCCTGATCATAAAGGTGCCTTGCAGGGGCTGCAGTAGTGTTTCATGTGATAAAACTGAAACAGGAGCAAAAACTGGAACAGCAGTTTTTACCTTAAAACACTTTTTTAGGATTCTTAAAGGTGCATGCGGTGTGTGTGCACGTGTGTGGGAAGGGGAACAGGAGCACTGCAAACATGTCTGTTGGGAATTTTCTGTATTGGGATCATTTGTTTCAATCCAAAAAGAACTTATGAACTGAGATATGTCTCAAGTGAAAGGCTGATTACCTAAGTCTCTAATGGACAAGTTTTACAGTAAAGTAAATAAAGCATACTGAAATCTCTACCTCATTCAGTATGATTCTATGATCCTACAAGCATTCCTCCCTGTCCCCTGTCTTGTCCCAAATGCCTCTGCTGTTCTTTTTAAGTTAATTCAAGCAGAGAAGTAACATCTTCCGGAATGAATTGGATTTCATGGTACAGAAATAGCATACAGGAATTACCATGTGTGGAATAGTGGGTAAGGGAGCAGGGTTCCATGTGGTTGATGTACTTGTTTTTGCTTGCCAGTTTGTTCCACCAGTGAGTTTTTTCTCTGTAGGCTGTGACCACTGCATATCCGATCTACAATGAAACCATGGGGTTAGTTTTCAGAGGGGCAACAGCTACAGTAACAACAACATACCAGGAAACCAAAACATGCCCTGATACATGTACACAGCTGCAATCTATGGGCAGATGAAACATTCAGGATCTCAGTTAACTACTTACATATCAATGAGTACGAAGTCTGGGGGTTCTGTTTGTGCTAAAAGTAAACTATCATTACTGCACTGTACAGCATAATGATTAACTGGAGTTTGATCTAACTGCAAGATCTTTGGTGGTGCTTTGTAAAAATACTTCCAACAAAAATACAACTGCAATTGCAAAACTAATTAAAGTGAACTACTTGAAAATCTAAAGTTGACTGTGTTATGGTGACTGACCACAAACACACTATTTCAACGAAGTTCTTGGTACAAGATTATTTTAAGAGTTGAGACTGTTGCAATGCTAGTGCTGGTAAACTGTTCCAGAGACCACCAAACAGTCATGTGAGAATATTCTGAGTACATATATGCACTTACTTTTTGGATGGAGTTCCTCCAAAGCCAAGATCTGTGGAGGAAAAGAAACAGACAAAATCCTTAAGAATTCTTAATTTGGGGGGTATAAAAAGCTTGGTCTGTTTTCAGTAACAAATGGAAAGTTCATTTTACACTTACTTCCTACTAGATTAGCAAGTGAAGAATCGAGGTCATTTGCCAAAATTTTCCCACTTTGCTGGCTGGGTACAGTGGCTCTTTGACTCTGTGGTGGGACTGTGGGTTGCAATACATCATCTAGAAAGTTAAAAGCTAAACAAAGAACATAAAAGCAACTGTTAACAAAACAGTTACATTGCATTTAACAAAAGACATCCGTAAGCCAGGGAGATATTTTCTTTATAGAACACTAAGTAGTTTGAGTGTTTATATGTAAAGGTTCAACATGCTGGAAGTGTCTAAGACTTTGACAGAAGCATAGTTTAACCTCTTTTTTTTTATGGAATACTATATTGTAGCTACTAATCTGGTAGAATCTTTTACTGTACTTCAACAGAATTTAATAGTATCGTTAAATTAACATGAATCTCCCTTAAAACAGAAGATGACAGGAGATTGTTAAAGTTAGTTTCAAAGAGACAGAGACACTGGATGCTGGCAGTATCCTGAAGGCTCATGAGTGTTCCCTTGCTATATAGAAGAGAAAGATTGCAATTCAGATATTCTTCAAGCAACACACACACACAACTAGTTTTGTATTTTTGCAAGTACAGTTCCTCTCAACAGAGTCAGAGGGAACTCCTTATCATGTAACAAGAGAAAACACTGAAGTCATAAGCACTGAAAACAAATGAACATGAGCTTACCCGTATAGAGATATCCAGTGGGCCACGTTCAATGTTCGTTCCCCCAGAAAGAGAGGAAACTGTTATTACAGTGTATGAAATTAGTCAAAGCTAATTCTAAAGTAAATAACTACAGCTGAACTGATTGCCTCTTATCAGCCCCATAATCAGCTTGCAAAAGTATTAAGTCATTAAATTTTGAACTGCAGTAACAATTATGTTACATTGTTAAGCAACTGTTGCCTGTAGGGTATAACTTAGTCATAAGCCAGTTTTTACCACTTGCAGTCCTGTACTCTGGGGCTGTAGATTTTCCTCCAAAGACAGCATCAAAGTCCACATTAATTGTTGAAGAGGTGGTACTCGGAGGGGCTGAATGAAGGGGAAAACCTGAAAAAAAAAGATAAGTAATGAAATACACCCAAGAAGTAATACCACTCATTACAGTGAAACCAGAAAGTTTTAAAAAAGCAAAAAATCAAATTACCATCAACAGTCAGAGGATGATACACAGAAGCATATGTAGGTTTATGACCACTAAAGTCATCTTCATAAAAAGAGAGAAGAAAATAAGATCAGTTTAAAAGAGAAAAAGGAAGAGGAGACCCAACAATTAAGCCTGCAGTTAAAAATTAAGAATATTTAGTATTACATTTTTTTTTTTATTTTACAGATTTGAAAAGCTCAAGCAACTCCTGCATCCCCATTACAGAAAAGAAAGGAGATTGCAGTTTGAAAGAAATCAGCAAAAAGTCCAGCAACACTGAAAGTTTTAGGATGTCTAGGTTGGGCAAGCTGAACAAAATAATTTATGTCAACTATAGAAATAAAAGTTTAAGGAAACATAGAATTTATTACATCTGGACTTAATGCACCATTTTCACTTGTTAATAGCAAGTGAAGATTGGCCCAAACTGCAAAAAGATTACATGGCCCACTTTATTAGCATTATCATCTCTGGCTGCAAAGAGATTACATGGGGTTGGATTGTTTGTTTCTTTACCACTAAACTGTTCCACTGTTTGTTTGGAGGAAAAAGTAGAATTCATGAAAGGGGTGGCAGATTTTACAGCTTCTTCAACTGGCTTCATGTCAAAGATGTCCAGATGAGGTGGAGAACCAACACAACCATTTGAGGACGAGAAAGGACCTTTCAGATGCAGAAGTGAAGGAAAGAATACAGAGCACAAATAATGGAAGAGAAAAACAGACTGAAATGATTGAATATGAGAATCTCTAGACAAAGTCAAATTGTAAATATTCCACCTAGTGATCACCCATCTAGATACAAATTCTTAGCTTCACATAAATATCCTAACGTCTCTCTGTTTCAGGAAAATAATTCTAGCACTGACATTGGGTGGGACAGGGAGAAGGACAGAATATATGTTAAAGAAGTTACATACTACATTTTTGGCTTCCATAATCTACCTTTTAAATAGCACATATGGGTGCCAATTTCACCCATTAAATACCAACATTTACCATGGTGTTAACATTGCCTTCCTTTGGCATTTTAGCCATTTCTTTGACACCTAACCTGGTCATTATTTGGAAGGATGGGTGAGGGTACAGAGAATGCTGTGCCCAAGAAACTGGGATCCACAGCTTTTTTATAACAAACTCTGAAGTTACCAACACCTTTTAAATGAAAAGTGTATTAAATCTTGCTTAATGAAATGGAAATACCAGTCCAGCAGCTTTTCAGTTACATCTGCTTAGGTTACATTTCCCAGCACTTTTAAACTCTGATCTTTAGTTACATTTCTTCTACCTGTCCTCTTTATTGAACAGATCTTTCATTCCATCTACTGCATATCAACACTACTGCTGTATGTTAAACAAAGTTTCCCATAGCTTTCAGATGATTTATTTTATATTTCCTCAAGAATAGGAATTATGTATGAGCATGCATTTTCTTCTATTTTAAGAGTTCACCCATCACTTAGACAGTCAAATCATGGTATCAGCTCACCTCCCCAAGCACTGCTTGCTGATGTTGATATAGCTGGAGTACTCTGCACAGTTGGAACAAATGCAGGCTGAAGATCAAAAAGATCACTAGAAAGGTTGGGCATGCTAAATAAGAAATGAGAAAGAGAGAGAAATATGAAGATCTGTAATAGGCATTGCATTCTTGCATTACATGAACACTCATACCAATCTCATTTTCTCCTATTCACTAGTAGCCCATCAAAAATAGTGGTACAAAACAAAACTGGTAATTAAGCACTTACTGTTTGATACCGAAATTCTTGTGGATATACTAAGAAAGCATCAGCAAAAGGTACTTGAGAAGTAACTGTAGACCTACAGGCCAGTGAAGTAATCCATCAGACAACAAAGTGTATCTTACCTATTTGTTGTGGGTGCTGGTACTGCAAAGAGGTCAACAGCTACAGTGGTATTCACACTTTTTCCTGATAAAGTGCTTGGGGATGCTGATGTAGGAGTGGAATTTGATACTACTGATATCTCTCTTAATCGCTGCTCCTGAAAGATGAGATATTTGCATTTCAGTTTTATTAATTTATTAACCCTTCAGTCCTGAAGACTTTTCCAAGAAGAAATTTTAATTATGGTCTTAGAAAATAAAACAGTTACTCTCTTGTAAAGTCCTGAAAACAGAAACAAAGTAATTGAAATTAGGGATAAGAGTATTTGTTTTAACAAAACCTCTAAAAATCGAGGCAAGACTCAATGTTTTAAAGAATTAATTTTTAAACTATCCATAACTGCCTAAAACACTTCTAGTCAAGCTACACATTCTAGGCTCTCTCCTAGTCACTCAGAAAAACAGGTCAGTGGACCTTTGCTCAAAGATGCATCTCTCTACTTTATGGACCTCTTCATAGTTCAGTTCAGACATTCACAAGTCAGACTGACAATGTGCATCCTAATAGTACCCATGTAGTGCTGCTCTTAGCTATCAACATAACAATCTTGTTTACACTGTGAATTTCAGCTTTTATATCCCTTACTACTTCTAGATATGCCCACTGCATTCATACAGCACAGGTCAAAGCCCAGATGTGTGTTTTACACAGGTTTTGTTCCTCCTGTAAAACCTTACCTTAAGTGACCTTGCAAGCTTCCCCACCCCCAATGAAAACCTGTATTGACTGATCTAATTATTGGTTACAGTAGCTACAACTCCTACTACAGTAGAAGTGGGACAGTGAAGAGGGGATGATACAGCTGATGCAACTCCTGAAAACAGAAATAACCAACCCCAATCAAAGAAATTAAACAACATCATTACAACACTTGCTGAGATCCCAGTGAGCAGCAGGCAGCAGGGCACACTAATGGCAAGAGATTGGCTTCACATGGATTTAAAAGAAATATGCTTTATGCAAAGTCAGGAAAGTGGAGAATCTTCAAGAGAGCTCTCTAATTCCAGAGGTGAAACCCAGCTCTGCCTCAAGGCTTACTTTCACACTCCAGATAGTTTTAAGGCTCTCATAATGTGGCCTCCAGATGACATGAACAGAGTTGCTTCATCATTTAGATGTGTTGACAGATGTTACAGCAACACCTAAATACATGTTACTTCAAAAAGCTTTTCAAACTAAACCATAAATCTGTAAATAATAGCAATTAGATGTGGGCAAAACTAGAACATATATTCTCATTATGAGCAACGGGACTGAAGAATCACGCCAAGCTCGATTCCATACACCACAGGGAAAAGTAATTCCCTCCCACCAATAATCAGTCTCACAGTAATAAGGCTGCATGTTCAACTGCTGAGATGTAACTGATGAGAACTGTTGTACACTCATTTTATGAATCTTTGAGATAATTATGATGCTTTGTAAGGAAGAACACAGGTGATTTACATCAGCTGTCTGCTATTCAAATCATACTCTTGGTAGGAGGGTCACCTCATACTAGCAGCCATCACATCCTACCGAATCATGCCTTGGCCTGTCTTAAGATGAGAGTTTCCCCCATCTTACACTCTGTTAAGCCAATCTTGGTTTGAATCTGCATCCAGTTAAAAAAATCTTGGAATACAAAACTTGTTAAAAGCATTGTACCTTAAGTGCCTGAAGTCTAACTTGTTCCTCCTCCAATGCCTGCTGCTTTTCTTTCTCATCCATCCTGCTACTGCTGAATGCCTGTATTGGCAAGTGTGGAAACAGCACTGGATAGGGCACTAGCTCTGGAAACAGCAATTATTAAAAAAAAATTTATTAAAAATCCCCATAGTCAGGTACACATCACTTACAGTTTAATCATCAAGTGCCTTATCAAGTTGTGTGTCATTCTCCCTCCCACTAATTTCTTCCCTTACTCTCTGGAACAAAAGAGAAGACACCCCAAGAACAGAGTGTGGAAACAGCACTGGATAGGGCACTAGCTCTGGAAACAGCAATTATTAAAAAAAAATTTATTAAAAATCCCCATAGTCAGGTACACATCACTTACAGTTTAATCATCAAGTGCCTTATCAAGTTGTGTGTCATTCTCCCTCCCACTAATTTCTTCCCTTACTCTCTGGAACAAAAGAGAAGACACCCCAAGAACAGAGTTTGGTGTATATGAGTACACAGAATTACTCCCTCAAGTTTCAGCAAGTAGGAACTGGAAAATGCAGAACATGCCAGTTGTCTTTTTTCTTTAAGGTCATCTAGACTAGCCTGGAATGCTATTCAAGTGGCAGAGGCATAGAAAGCCTGCTTGTACATTATATAACAGCAAATAAAGCACAGAAATTGTTCCCTGTTTAGTCTACATTTGCGCAGAACACTGTGGCAGTGACTCCTCAGACTAAAAAAAAAAATAACTGAGGAGAAAGACAGCAAGTTGGGGATGTAGCTCACACTGATGCATTTATCAATATTTACCAAGTTTCTGTGCGAGAACATCTATGCCAAGAGATCTCTCACTCTTCAGTCAGAAGTGCTGTTCATACATACTGATAAGTACTTGACAGAAAAAATAACATAACTCCTGTCAGCACAAAACATCTAAGATAATTTGGTTGTTCTGAGAAGGGACTGGAAAATGTCTGTGAGCAGGTGAAGATAAATTCACAGTCTGAGGGGTAGACAATTGACAATAAATACTGTCCTATCCTGGGTAAGAAGAATATGAAAATCCAAATATATTAGAAGTCTTACAAGTTAAAGGACTCCAAACAAGTAAAAGCTAAAAAGAATAATACACAAGGTCTCAGCTCAGTGATTTATTACAGCATAATCAGAAGTCTGTCAGAGACACAGGCAAACATAGCTAGATTTCAAACATGGCTAAGCTATCAGACTAGTTGTTTCATTTATATTTCCAGGAAGATACATTTGGAAGTAAATAAAATTCAAGAACACCAAATGACTGAATCCTGAAAATTCTTAGAATGAGATGACGAATCTTAAGTGTGGGCATTGTTGTAATTCATTGGGTGCTCACCTGCTGGCAGCAGAGACTTCTTTTGTTTTCTTTCCCTCCACAGAAGCCAAATGCTGTTCCAGTGCCTCAAGCAAGCTGCTGGGTGCCTGAAATTAAAAGTATTTATAAAACACTGCCTCTAATCAACACATCATTGTTTAGCACACAGATTAGTTTCCTCACCCGCTAAAAACAAACAAAAACTCACACATAATTATTGTGCCTTTGGGTTTTGCTGCCATCCTGCACACCCAGATTCTATCTACTCAGTGGTGGTTCTTGAAAAGGAGCAGGAGCACAGAGACACAGAGGAAGGATTCCTCTGAGCAGCTCTGCTTCTGTGTATGCAAGTTGCATTCTTGGTGTTGGCAACAGCATTTGTTATGTTAAGATTAACTGAATAATCACAGCTGATTGAGCAGTACTCCCTGAAACTCACAGAAGTCTCAAAACAAAGACTTTGCATTTTTGATCTCCTTTCTCATGTAACAGCAAAAAGGCAATCACTTTCCATTCAAATACTGACAGTCGAAGGCTTGCAGTAGAAACACCTGACTACAACAGGATGTTAGGTTTGATAAAACAAGGAATCAAATTCAACCTGATCCCAGGGACACTACTGCAGACTGAGCAGCTCTTCAACATGTGACTATACAATAAACCACTCAATTACTCCAAGTAAAATAAATCCTACTGCAGATTCAGATGAAGGGAATGGACATCTAAAGTTTTACTCTGTGCCAGCTCAGTCCTCCTCACCTGGCAGGGTTTCAGAGACATTAAGCCTCTTTTACCACTTGCCAGCCTTCAGTAGGTAGAACAGATATTGTCTGGAAGAAAAACAAGCCTGCTCTTGCTAGCCCTTCTGTACCAAAAGCTAGATTAAGGCATTTCCTGGAAAGAGCAAAAGTATAAATCACACAAGGCTTTGGCAATCTCCCTTTGAAATACTGAGCACAATTCTAACTTCCCCAAAAAAAACCAAGCAATTAGAATAATCCTATAAAACTGCCTATCATAAAATTAAGGCCTGAGCTGATATTTCTTAAGTAGAGCTGGGTAAGCTAAGACAGTGTAGTTATCTCAACAGCTGGTCATGAATAAATTTGGCATTTGACCTAGACAGCTAAACCCCAAGAAGGAGCATTTTGAAGTACTCTTCTGGAAAGGTATCAGGGACAAATAAAACCAACCAAAACCACCCAAATCAAACACCCTCCTCCCATACCTTTACCTTTCAGGAGGCACAGTAATTTGCAAAATGGATTGCATGACACAGCTACATACATAATACCAGGAGTCTATGCCCTAATTCCAGAAAGCCATTCCTAGTCTTTTTTTTCCTCCCAAGGCCATTCTAAAACTTACTTGTATACGAAAGCATATTCTGTACTTACTGTTTCTAAAGCCCTCTAAACAACCCCCTCAACCACAAAACCCAAATCAAACAAACCAACAACCTCCTCTGAACATACTCATTGCTGCAGACATCCAATTAGACATCAAATTTTGAGTGAACAGAGTAGTTTTACATCAGAAGAGATGCCCGGGCTAATACAGACATTATGAACCAAGAAAGGCTGTATTTTATGATTCAGCCTCCCTCCCCTTCACCCAAAGACATCTGACAGGCTAACATCCATCCAGAGACCCAGTTACATTCATGAAATACAGTAACAGCTATAAACAGAAAGGCAGCAACAGCACTGTGAAACAGGGCACCTACAAAGGAAAGTATTTTCTTTATAGGAATAGGCAGAAATAGCAGAATTAATAAATTTTAGCAAATCCTTTTAATGTGGCACTAAATGGATGCACAATTATTCAACTCCTATTAAATGCCATGAAAATTTCTATGTAAGTGCAATGCTTAACAGTGGCACTGAAATTACCAAAATACACATGATGGTGATGTCTATCACCAGTTCAGGGTTGCATTTCTTACACAAGTGCACTAACAACAGAACAGTTGAGCTATTAGAAATAAAATGTTGTGCAAACAGTAGATATTAAGAATTTTCTCAGTGAAAGTTGCAGATATAAAAAGCACCAAAATGAAGTTAAATCCTCCTCTTCTCAGTAACTAAAAAACCCCACCTGCTTTCAAGAGCCTTATAATGACCCAATTAAGTGGACAAGTGCACACAAACCTAGTGAGGTATAAATAACTTCAGACCTGAGTATAATGTGATTAGCATAATACAGAGCAGCTGAATACTGCAGTACTAATCAAAAGACAAAGTAAGGTGCTAAGACCAAACACCAACAGAAAATTTCAAACTCCTGTTTTCATTCATTACCTGCTCTTACCCTGATGGTTACAGTCATCATTCCTACCACAAAGGCCTAGAAGTTCTTAAAGGGATTCATATTGTTTGCTAGGAGCAAGCATTGGATTTGTACTTTGAAGCATGTGTGATTTCAGATGGAAATCATACTGTAGGCAGTAATGAACACTGCTGACAGTGGAAGTCTGTGGTTCAGATTTGATGTCCATATTAAAAAAAGACATTGATAAAATTTAGGCAAATCTCCACAGATGTATTTCTGTATGATTAGTCCATGAAATGTAATTTCACGAAGGTGCTGTAGAATTAGATGTGACTGTTCAAAGTTTACACGTTAGATTTTTACTGTTTTTCACTGACTCCTCTTAAACAGCTCAAGTACACAAAGCAAAAGTATTGAGTACATTTAATACATGGGAAAAGTTACCATACATATTTCTCATGTATAAACACAGAGAAGAGAACATAGTGTTCAAGAAGAATGATTGCTATGATGCACACCAACCTTTAAAAACACAAAGAACAAAATAATTGGGTTAATCAATATGCAATGTACACTGACCTGAGTAAGATCTGGAATGTCACCCTGATCAATTCCAACTTGCTGGGTTTACAAAACAAAAGGAGGAAAAATAGCACATTACTACAGGCAGTGGCAATGAAAATAAAACCCACCAAAGTCTGAATGGTACATAGAAAATAAGATATTAAAAAGGGATATTCATAACCTTCTGCAGAAAAGCCTACTGGGAGCATTAGAAACATCCACATTGCTTACTAGAACTAGATTTTTTAGCAGTTAAAGAGAGCACTGTAAGTAGACTGTACATTCAGCATGTAAATTTTACGAATAGTCCAAAATACATAACAACACTTCAGAAAGCTTACTGTGTTGTCTGGCTAATAAAAAGGATACCCAAGAATCTCATTCCATGTTCATGTGCATATACAATCTTTAAAATACCTAATCTGCAGAATACTTCCTTGTACAGTAAAGCAAACAATCTGTTTATTAGGCTGTTTTTATGAATATTGATACTGTACCAGTACAGACAGCAAATTATATCCTTTCCATAGATGCAGATTTATTTACCTCTGCTACTTTGAGGAATTCTGACAATTTGGTCATTCTGGCTAGAAATTTTTTGTAAATATCCAAGCCTTCTTTGCACTGGTTCTTCTTCATATCAAAATATCTTTCTGAGGATGCAAATAAAACTCTGGTGAGATAATACCCTCCCCAGCAAAAAGCTGACACAGTATTATAAAAGTAAATTCAAGACAAGCTTCAGGAGGAGAACAGACAGGAGTAACTTAAAGCTATTCAGATCTTCAAGTTGACATGAATACCTGACACCTCTTGCAATACATCAGTCAATACAAAAACATTGATTTTTCTGTTTCAGTGTATTAGACTATGATGCAAAGCTTTATTAAACATGGATGTGAATAAGTGCAAATTGTTAAACTGGTGGATATGGCGAATAGTTTCAAAAAGTCAGGTTATTAGGTGGCAATGAGGCAAATGATTTTATCATTTGAAAATATTCCTGGTATATACATTTTTAGACCCTCTATCAATACATTTTGATGTCTCTAGATGAGCTCAATATCCAAAAGATATCAGAATGGCTACTGAAGTGGTTATGTAAACTGAACTACCAAAAGGAGCATCAACCACATCCTTCACTTTTTATGGTTTTGCCCTATACACTTAAAGATATTTCACTGAATAAAACTAAAGGATTAACAGAACAAACTGATCAGATGTTTTCATTCAGAAATTTGTTTAAATAGTAATTAAAAGACTTTGCTAAGAGCTTATCACTCTTTTACAAAAAATCCTACACATCATTTAATCGCCTCGTGTAGATTCAGGTACCAGGGAAAGGTGAACAGTTAAGCTATAAAGTATGGGAAAACAGAAGTAATACTGTGACTATATTAAATACTCAAAATACCAGATATCTCATTACACTTTTAGAGTCCAATTGCAAAGGTTATCCACTGCATATTTATGGTATCTTTGTTTCAGTCTCACCAGCATCCTCTGTTTAACCCTATGCTACTTGCCACTAAAACCAAGACAGGCTTAATTTAACAGTAATAGAGCAGAGACAATTTATTAGCAAACTGCAGTCAGAAATTGTCTATATTCTTTAGTTTTCTCATTATCTTTCCACAAAAGTTCAAAAGCTAAAAAAATTCTCACATACCTAAAAGATTAATAATCCCCTCATTGTATGCTGCAAAAAGTCTAATGGAATCTTTAAAGAGGAGCATAAAGGCAGCATTTATAACACCATTTGTTAGTTCATTTGGATTTGCCTGTGTAGAAAGCAATGAGAAAGTAAATTAGTATTTAACAAAATAATGAAACTCTCACTTCAAAATGAGAGAGTGTTACTTAACACTGAGCTTAAAGTACTTGCATCAAAATCAAGGAGTGCATCAAGCTGGTTCTGTATGATTGGAAGGGTTTTCAGAAGCTTTTCAGGATTCATAGTTCTCATCACTCCATCTATCCTACAGAGTAAAAGACACACGTTTACAAGTTACAAAGGGATCTCAAGATACTATGCTGTTTCAACAATACAATATTGCTTCAAAGAGCCAAAAGAACACATTTCCATGACAAGCTCAAGAACAAGTGGCATCCTTTCCCCCAGTAGGAAAGACCAAATGAAAGAAGCAATAACAGTCTTACCCTCTTTTCATTTTGGTGAAGTCAACTGCTACAAGTCTATATGAAAGTGCTTTTTCATTCAAGTATCTGCTGTATCGCCTAATGAAGGTAGACATATCATAGCCTAGAAGTTAAGCATTTTTAAGTTAGACATTTTGAAGGGTAAGTTTATTTTAAATTCTTTTCAAGAACTGTTCTCCTACTAGCCCATTTTACATCAACTTGCATAAAACACCCTTCACAGGCACTTTCCAGAGTCCTGAGTTCACTATTTTTCACCTTGAAATGTGATGCTACAATTTCTTCCCGACTTGTTAAGATTAGGAAAGCATTTGCTGCAATTACAAGAATAAACACCTAAACACATTAAAATATTAGACAAGAACCAAGCATAAATTACTAGGCAAGAGCCAAGCAGCTCTTGTTAAGATGTTCTTGAAATTAGACTAAAAATGTATTCCTAGTAAAATGCTGAAGAGTTTGCTAACTTATCTGCAATGCCTCAAAAACTACATGAAGACCTAAAAATGTTTTCTACCATTAGCAAGTAATTAAAAGACTTACAGATTTGAAGGAGCTCTCACTATTTATATAGCACATCCTAGTTACTATTCCATGCACCTTAACAGCAAACATTTACTCCTGAGGCATTAAAATGCAATGACAAAAGTAGATAATTGTGCTGATAATTCACCATTTATTCTAATGAGCATTAAGAGCTCACATTTTAAAATTTACTGCTGTATGTGCAATGGTACATACATTACAGACACGTTTCTAGTACTGACCTAGGTAACTCAGACTCACTTCTCCTGTGCCTACATTCTTGGCTGGACATTCTTTGATGCCTCATGCAATATGAATCATAATACCCTTCCATTTAAATGCCATTTGTCTCCTAGAGTGCACTGGCACACACACCATCACAGAGAAAAATAGCAGTAGAGTTATTTCCTTCAATGAAAGATCCTTACCCTGCATGGCACTTTTGTCCAGGTAGTTATTTAGGTTGAACAGAGTGTTTCGGGATGCAAGATACTGGATAAAGCGCTGGTGGTGAAGAGAAAAGTGAGAATGCAATTGTTGTGAGAATCAGAGCATGTAAGCAAATTACAAGAAAACTACACTTACCTTCTAACTGTTTCTAGCAACCCCTATCAACAACAGAAATTAGTTAAAAGGGAAACATTTAGAAGAAAACCTGAAAATATTGATTAGCAAAGCTTCTGAAGTCCAAAACTCTGGTGAAAATATAAACTAAATAAAGAGATATCAGTGCTTGTGAATAAAATATTACTGAACCTGGAGGAAGTTGCTTAGTTAATTTTGTAGTTTAGCACAGACAAGCTGGAAAACACAAACCAAAAATACCATTTACATTATCCAAGCTCCTAAAGTCTGCACAACTACTGCTGCTGTGGAAGTGGAAGACAGGCCTGCTTACACAGTTCAAAAGTATTGAGTAACAATAATGGTTCTGAACTGTGGTATGGAGCAGCACTGGAGTTATAACTATAGATTTGAGATATATATATATAAAATGCAGTGATCTGACTAAACAAGTTAAGTTTTGACAAAAAATATCTGGCTTCATAAATAATGAGAGAGTCAGAGACAACCACATCCAGACAGCAAGGCAGTTCTAAAAGTTTTCCTGCCACTGCTATACACAGATCTCCTGTGATTTTCATTTCTTGACTTTCTTGCTTCTTTGTATGTGTTTTAGTCCACAAAAGAGAATTATGACCAGTACAGCTCAAGGGACTTGTTACATCTTTGATCTGAAATCTGCTGCCACAGCATGCAGGGCCTGTTCCTTCACTCCATGTTGGGAGTCTACCTGCCTGCCAGGCTTGGACTGTTGTGCTCTGCAACACCTGCATGTTTTCAGTCAGGTCCAGGATAGCACCTGCTCTTTGGGAGCTGTAACGAGGGCTTAGCACAGTAACAAGAAAATTCTTCTCACAGGTACTATTATCTAAACTGAAAGCAGTACTTTAACCTTCTGTTGAGTTCAAAGGATCCCCCAACTTGTCACGTACCACCTCATCTGCAACTCCGTGTTCCTTCTGAGCCTGTAGCTACAGAATTCACACAAGTCTACAACATGTAGATTGCCTACCAACAGTTCTGGCACTGTTTTAACTTCTTAGTCTGTTTTCAGTTGATTTATGTGTCTGGGTACATCTTAGTACTGCATTCAAAGAGGTATAGAAGAAAAACAGTAGGAACATGATCAGGAACAGAACAGTGACACACAAAAGGTCTCTATATGCATTTCAATATTAGCTACTGTTCTGAATCTCATTTTAAAAGGGCCAAATCTAACTCTTGACTACCCAGATGTCAGGGGTCTTGCACTGAAAAATGCACAGATGAGAGGAGTTTTAAACTGCTTCACCCAAACCTTCATGTTGAGAAACAGGCAGTATGTTGAACCAGAAGCTCTAACAACATTCTGAACTTGCACTATATTTGTACATTTTTTTCCAAGACATATATACTTCAAAACATACATATTTACTTGTACTAATACAATTCCAACATCTGATAATATATCATCTGTTTCAGAAAAAGCCTCTTTTAATATATGAGGACAGCAAGGAATACACTCATGTTCCTCCCAAAATTACAGAACTAGTGGTCCAGCCACATTATCTCAGCAGGTATAAAGGAACTATTTTTCAGGTTTCAGGTCCATACACAAATTTGGAACTGCCACGTGACCAAAGTTTAGCTTTTAATGTAAGGATTGTGCAAGACAGCCTACAAGTCTAATGCCATGTTATTGACTGGGAAGCTTTTCAGAAACAGTGATGAAATAATTTAAGTGAATTAAATACAGCAGAAACATTTCAGAGGAATGCTAATGGCAACAACATATTAAGATGTAGCCCATTAGATGATGACTTGCAAGATCAAATATTCTAGTCACCATATTCCTCTCCCCTTTAGTAAGTACTCTGTCTTATCTGTTATTAGGTTGGCTGCAAATTTATGGAGTGCTAACAAGACTCCTCTTCTGTGCTCTTACTGATAAGCACTAGCCTAATGAAGTAAAGCTCATCAGAAGTTTTTCAAGTCTTTATTCTAGAAAGGTCACTCATTATTCCCTTGCAGCCCAACCCAGATACCTGCAGGTAAATTGCAAACACTGATACATATTTGGTAATGAAATAATGAAGGAATTTTTTCCCTGGACAAATACTTTACAGCCATCATCAGAGGAAAAACAAAGATCTGTGAAAAACTGAAGTACATATTTAATGCTTTACAGATTGAGACAATTTAAAAAAAAAAAACGTCAAGGAGGCTTTAACAGAACTAATCATGTCTTACCTCATTTCCATACATCATGAGGTGGTGTGTTGTAATTAGAGCTTTGAACACTACAACCCAGCTACTGTTTGCAGTTCTTTCAAAGAGTGTGTCTGCCAACTGTGGAATATTCACATTCATTTCATTTGTGCACTGTATTAGATCTAAATGAAAGAAAAAAAACCAACAAAGCATTGCAATGAGTTACAAGCTCAGAGAGGATCAGCACGTTATTTTGTGGTTTTACATTGGGAATTCATACTGGAAGCATTAACTTCAGTTCTTTAAGAAATAATTGAGCTCTTTCACATTCCTTGCTCAAATTCACTACATTTTATTGAAAGACTCCAAGTATAAACTTGAGAGGCATTTCAATAATTTTATGGAGTACCAATATCTCATCAATAAAGAGCCTGTTCCCTTAGAAGCCCAGTGGAGCCCAAATTACTGTCTGAAAGCTAGTGTAGACCTTCTGGATGCTCAATGCCTGGGGCCACTCAATGTATCCGAAACAACAAAAATGTAAGACAGGAAAAGCTGAGACATCCATAACTCCTGAGTTCAGCAGGCAGCAAGTACCCTGCCACTCCAGCCTAAGCCTGAGAACTGACACACAGGACAGCAAATGAGATGCTACAAACCTGTAAAATAAGCCTCTTTTCTGTAAGAATTAAGAGTACGAATTTGCATCTACGCACCTTTCAACTTGCTTATAAAAACCTAATTGCCAAACTGCTGAGAATGTTGTGGTGGATCATGGCAGGTCTCAGGCTTTTGTATGAAAAAACCTCTTTGTGTCCAAGACTGATAATAAACTCGATAATAGAACATTAACTTGGCAGGTCAGAGAGCTTCAGGTCTCTGCCTGAGTATTGGTACAAAACCAGAACAAGCTCCTGCAGACACATGGAAAAAGCACCTGCCTGAGAAGGCTGGAGAAGGTACTTGCTGAGGAGAGAGCAAAGAACTGAATCCAGGACTACTCTAAACATCTCAAGACAAGTACAGCAGACATTTATTCTCTCTCTGCTCTAGATTTGGCTCAGGTGTGATCAAAGTACACCCTAAGGACTGGGCAAGGCCAGTAAAACAAACATCTGGTTTGAAAAGGTTCCTTTGTGACCTCTCACTTAAGCCAAGCCTTGTGAGCAGCCTGTTGGTTGCAGAGCCCATTGCTGTTTATGTGGCTTGTCTGGATGAGGACCTGAAGAAGGGGCAGGTGCCTGGGAAGCTGAGCAACAACTGAACACCGAGGCGTGGGCACCACTGACACAGACAACTGCTTTGTCTTATAAGCAGTACGGAGAGAACAGAATACGTCATAAGCAATTTAAACATGACCTTAGGAGATCACACATTAATACTTTAGGACAAAATATTTCATAGAAATATTGCACTTTGAATCTATATCTGTTTTAGTGCACAGAATATATTATAGGTTTATCTTGATTAAAGATCAGTTTATGAACAACGAAGTCCTTTGATTATGGACTACTGTTTAAAATAATTTAATAACCAGAGCAATTTTAACAGGGTAAAAATTTTTAGATAGTATCTTGGTGAGGTAGAAAGCTATAAAATGGAAATAAGTTAGTAATTTCATTCTGATGTCAAAGGCTTCCAAACGTACAAAACATGCAAGCTGGGATGAAAACTTTCACCCTTATTAGTAGCACACAAAAATGCTGAACTAACTGCACAAAAAGAGCCTTGAAAAGAAGCTTTAAACAAGCTATATGCCCAAACCTACTGCTGAGTAGTGTTAAAACAGTTCAATATGTATAAATGTGAAGTTTCTCAAAAAGACCAAGTAATTTGATAGATATTGCTCACTACTCACAGCTGTATCATCAGAAGCTGTGTCAAATTAAAATGTACTTTAACCTAGAAGTCCAAACAGTCCATAGGCAATTACTGCCCCACATAATGAAGCAAGTCCCAATTCCAGAATTTATACATGGAGAAATCTTGTATTTTAATTCAACAGCCACATTTACTGAATGAGAACTTTGCTATGACATTTCTAAGTAGCTCTCTCAAAACACATTAAGGCAAGTAAGCCTTCCTCAGTCCAACCAGTTTATAGGCAAGCGTTGTGGAGACACATGGAAACTACTGAGCAAGATCTAACAGCAGTAACTGAAGTGCCTGAAACCAGCACAGAAATGTTACAGAACCGTTACATGTCCTACTCTCAGTTTATAAAAACCAGCCAAACAAACAAACATAAAAAAACCCCAACAAAAATCCCACAATCTCTATAAAGAGCAATACTTAACACTACTAGGTAACAGTTAAAGAAATTCCATTGATCTGCTGAGGTCAAAGACCAAGCAGACAGTCTATCAAAAATATTATTTCTGCACAAAGTCCTTTTCCTTCACATGACCACTAAGCAAGTCAGATTTTTCACTATTAAGTGTGCTTATTAAGTAATAGATGAAACTGGGAGGGAAGATCTGGGTTAAAATCAGAACCTTTCTACTCTCAAGTCAGGTTAGTCAAGCTATATCCATTCATATTTTGCTAGCACTCTCCAAAGAGATTTCAGTCCTATCACCTTCCCTCAAGCTAAGGTCTCCCAGCATATGCTCCAGCAGAGCTGAGGATGATGCTGAACACCTGGGAGATCTCTTGCACATAGTTATGTCTAAGACTGCTGTCAAGTGTGTTATTACAGTGCTGCTCGGCACAATGGGGCAGGAATCCTACTGTTAGCAAGTGCACCCGATGTTGAACTGATGACCTCTCCTTAAGCCACACATCCGTAAAAAAAGCTTTGGCTTATCATGCCAGCATAAAGGTTTACTTCCACAAGAAGCCATGCAGCTGTCTATGTCCAAAAGGGAGCAACTGCCTTCTGCTCACACTAAAAAAAGTCTATCTCATGATGGTAACAGAGTGGAAGCTGACAGACCTCTGGTGTATGTGACAAGCTCCAATGTTATTCTTCATTCACAGGTGTGAGCACTTCTGTGGATGTTTCTGGGTTTTCCAGCATGTGCTCATTGCTTCTGTGAGATATGAGCCTGTCAGTTTCAAAGGCAACCAAAATGAAATCCTTCCTATAGGCAGGGCTACTCGGAGGGAGTCTCATTGAAGCTGTGGCTGAGGCTGGAGGACCTGAGGAGCTGCCAGCCCTGTGCACTTGACACACGTGCTGAGGGCAACACACACTGACTCCCCTGAAGACAATTTTTATGGAGGTCACTTAGCACTACAGTGGTCTTGAATTCTAAAATCTCCTTCAACACACAAACACATAAGCCACAGTTGCCAACACTAAAGAACAAATGCTTAGACAAACAAAATGTCTCTAAAATACTAAACTACGAGTAAAATCTCTGTGCATTTTATAGGCCCAGAGTGGACTTTCTTAAGAGTGTGCTGCAAATGGCCAGGTTTAAAAAGACCACTTGGGTTAATTTTAAAAATTAGTATTTTACAACTAGGAATAAAAAAAACCAGCTAGCCTCACATTTCAACTCTACCAACTGAGATACATTAAATGAAGCAAATGCCATTTCTCTAATATGATTCTTCTAAGTCTACAATAGGAATATCTACATAGAAACAACTACATGGACATTACAGCTGGTGGCACAGAAAGAAAGGGCTATTAACCCCACACATCTGGAAGAATAAAGGAACACATGCACCTGAGAGACTGACAGCTGGGCAACTGTAATACGGATGTTGGCAGCAAAAACTGGAACGAAATGCACAGGGCAAGTGATGCTCATTTTCTTATCGCACTACTTATATAAACACTTCACAACTCGGAGCATTTTGCCAATTACCCAGAGGAATCATTTCAACTGCAAGTGAAACTGTGGTGCTATTTCTAGAATGGAATTTAGAAACATGTTAACATCACACAGGGAAAAAAAAAAAAAAAAAAAAAAAAAGAAAAGAAAAGTAAATCAAACAGCTTTAAACCAGAAGAGTACCAGAGGGGTTTTCAAGCAGCCTGGAAGAGCTGTGGAACTCTTACTGCCTAGAAGAGTATTGAGGATTTATCTGCCACAGCTCATGTGAAATACTGGCACATCATCTATGAAGCTATACAGCTCTTTGGAGAGCAGAATGTATAAATCCAGATATTAAAAAAAACAATATGTGTGTGT